ATGCTGGTTGCCAATGACGCATTCAGAACGCGTCAGAATTTGTAGAAAGTTACTGCCGCCTACGCTATATATATAAAGCACTGTACAAGTGTTCCTGACTTCGTTTCGGGCGTTAATATACGTTGTGCACCTTTGGTGTTCGTTTTGACGTGAACGCTAGCTTGGGAGGCTCAGACCGAGAACTAAGCTGAGGAAAATACCGTTACTACAACAAGCCAAAGCTGATGCGATTCATTCGTAAAAAATCTACTGACTAAAAAACTACAGGATTCATCCTGTGAATTACTGATTCACATTTAGAAGCACTGGAAACGTCCCAAGGATTTCTTTCTTCAGCAGTTTGCTAGACCAACGTGTTTTAATTGCGAAAAAAAATGTGGAATTATCAAAACCACATTTCCCCTGAGGCATTGATAAACACCAACAATTTGCTTCCTCCTGGGTCCATTGTGAAACAATCTAACTGTTCTTCAGAATAGTGTGACATTGTACGTAGAAGTCGAACGACATAAATATTTTTAAACCGCTCAGACCCCCCGGATCCATTTCACAAGGGTAAACTTGCGAGATTAGTTCATTCCTTACAAACTTTTCGGCCGGAAAATGTGTGAAACGATACCAAATCGACACAGATTTAACATCATCCACGTAAGTCTAAGAGAGCTGAACCAATCAACGAAAGAATCAACTGAAAGAATTTCAGTCCACTAGGTGGTCTGCTTCGTGCAATGACCTGGGAAGACTGATGGAATGCAACAGTGGTTCGTGTCAATTGGAGGTCTTGAGATTAGGTATTTGATACTGGACTCGACAGGCGTTGAGTGTGCAACGTTTTTCGGCACGTGCATTTTTGCCAGCGCTTCAATCCTCCGGTCAGATCTGAGGCCATGGTAAGTGAAATGGTAAACATGCGGAGATCAGACCGAGATAATCAGTGGACAACAAACTGATGACGTTTCTTCGATTGGTGGTAAAACGCTTCCCGAAATCGGTCAAGAGATCAATAGCCATTCGACCAATACGTATGGGACAGACACGATGTTTTCCTCGATGCCACGAAGCATAGCCTGTGTTTACGTCTTCGAATACCAATGTGATGCGCCATACATGCGGAAGTGTGTTCACATACACTCGAAACGATGTTTTTGACGAAGCATTCAAGGCAGTTGTTGTTTGACTGCAGTGATTCTGGGTGAATGCATCCTGTGCGCCAACTTGTCTAGCTAATGTGAGGAACGCAGGACGTCGGTGCCGAGTTGGACAGAAGCTCGTAAAATTCGGGCTTCTGATCGGAACGGCAGTCGGTGATCTCTCACAAACTTAGAGGGGGGGCGGTAAAAACAGGCAGCAGACGTCCATCCGCCTTGTGCATAATGACGAGTAACACATAGTTTGAATAAAGTTTGTATAAAAAAGTAGCTATGGTGTGTCAGCTTGCCGGTTAGCCGAGTTAGGTCCTAAAATGTGGTCAAAGCTGACTCCAAGGCGACTGTCTATAGCTGATGCCCTGGAAACATCAACATCCTTATCAGTACCAGCTGATCATGATGAAGATGATGATGATGACAAAACTTGGCACTTATGCTAGACAGCACAAGGAATTATCCGCGATCGCTTGGCCTGCTCTGACATCAAATAACGAAATTACGGAATATAGTAGACCACTCGCAGGACTTTAACTTTCACGGAGTTAAATGGCGAACTGCAGGATGTAGCCCAATCACTGTCTCATTTTTAGGCAGAAAGCAGAGGGGGAAAACGATTATGATTCACGTTCAATCTGATCAAAAGAGAGACTGGGAACTCAACGTATGACACTAATATTCATAGAATTCTATCTATATTCAAACTGCGATAGCCCGTCTGAGAAACGACAACACAGGTTCATCCTGTTGCGGTCGTGTCCCGACAGCAGGCGACATTGTGCCGCTACTCCGGTAACGGTTCACTCAGCACAAGGTCAGCCATTTCTCGGTGACATGATCTGGGCAAAGTGGGTGTTCTTGCATGATACGGTGAAAGAGCTACAACATCGTGGCCACCGAAAACGTACCATTCGAGCGGCCTCGTCCAAGTTGTCGCATCCAAGGATTTTCATCTCGCTACTACCAATAATGGCTTTCGCATCTTCAACACGAGTGCCTGTGAGGAGAAAAGTTTGCAAAAGCAAGGGACCGATAAGGAACATCGTGAGGACGAATATGATTATGCAGCGAGACAGAGAGCTCAAGATGGACCCGTGGTTAACACGTGAAACTACTGTCCGAGAGGTCCGTGGTTCGCGCTTGTTTAGGCTTGAACAACCTGGCTTCTGTCGAGTTGAATGATAGCTAGGCTACAACTGAACAACTATGCGGAATGCCTTATTGTGATTGGGTGAGAGCAAGATTATATGGTCTCCCCAGCAAACTGTGTTATGTGTGGTAATGTGTCCCTAGACCAATCATGCCGTCATCGAAAGAGAAGCCTTCGAACCTTAATGATTGGTTCATGCCAGTGTGAAAATGATCGACTGCGTTCGGTGTTCCTGGTCCATGCATTCGCCTGAAATGGTTGAAGTCACAGTAAGGCAACATGTTTGGAAATTGGGAAGGGTTTCTGGTTACTAGGATAACTGTCGGCAAAACTACAAAGGAAAGTTTGGCTACGCATCAGCCTATTTATCTGCATATCATAATCATCATCACCGACAGCATGACATCAGTGTTCAACACCGATGCTTCACTGCCGTACAACCATGATTTATTTGAAAGCCTTATTGTAAAGAAAAGAATAAAGGTGGATGGGGGAGGGACTTAGTGCTAGCTTAACACAATCATTCCGAGGTGCCTACACCTCCAGACATTCATTCAGGCAATCTGGACAGAAACTGACAACAAGAACGCCACTGACATCGGTTGGCAGCCATATCTTGTAGTGTCTCCAACCAGGCACAGTGAGGATCACGCGGTCCTCATCCTGGAAGGCGAGTAGCACCGACAGCATCCAAGCGTTTCGTGATCTCCTTCATACTCCTCTGCCAAGTCTGTTTACGCCACTCTGAGTTGGGCATTGAAAACACAGTCGGTAAGAACGATTGTGTGGCTTCACCCAGCGTCAAGCCACCAATGAATGCTGTGATATGAAATTGGCTTTTTGGTCTAATGCTCGGTTCAGTTTGACAGCGATGAACGACACATCAAGGCGGGTTTAATCCCAACTGCTGCAGTCTCTTCCACTGGGACAACCGGGGGATGGAAAGTGGTTGACAATGCATTAGAAGCGATAGTGGATCCGGCTGGTTGACCATGAATACAGAGTACGAATTGAAACAGGTGTGAAACGAAATGTGACAATCTTTCATAAAGGATCGTGTCTATGCATGTCGGTAACAATGAGAATGTCTAGTCCTAGCGTCTCCCCCACCCCCCCCCCACACGAATTGAAACAGGTGTGAAACGAAATGTGACAATCTTTCATAAAGGATCGTGTCTATGCATGTCGGTAACAATGAGAATGTCTAGTCCTAGCGTCTCCCCCACCCCACCCCCACAAGAGGTGGCGACTGCCAACGTCTGTCAAGATATTCCACGAGTAGTTACCAAGTCACAGAACGACTTTAGGGTGTCTCCAACTTGAAAATGGTTGGGCTATAATCCGGTCCTGCATTTGAGTTCAACCCAATTGGAGATGTGCATCCATGCAGGTGGGAAATCGAACGGTGGTTTTGACAGAATTGAATGTTTTGGAAAGATTGCCATGACGACCAGATCACAATGAAAAACGGCCATTATCAATGCCAAGTTGGGTCCTGACCGAAGAATTCAGCTTCCACGATATTAAAGAAAACGATTGATTGGGGAGAATTTAAGGGACGTCAAGTCTGGTTTCCTAAAACCGAACTGCAGGTAACCTAGCCATCCCGACCAGAAAGAAAAATCAATAAAAGAACTACGCGCTTGGTCTCCTTGAAATTATCGCTACCTCGTTGTCACTATGGGTACAGGAATGGAATAGGATTTGCTCGAAAGGGGAGACATTGTCCATTGCAGAAAGCAGTTGTCCGGAATAACAAAGAATCAGGTTTTAGAACTTCGCCGTGCGAAATGTGAACCAACAACCTTCGGAGACTCGAGGAGAGAAAAACTGGAGCCAAATTCTGTGAAACAAGGCCTGTCCACACACACACACACACACACACACACACACACAAAACAGATGAATGACGAAAGCTACCCCAACTTTTCCCTTATTTAAACTATTTTTGCCATCCAGACAGCCAGTATAGCAGACCATCGTTGACGTTGGAAAGATATCGTTCGACTTGAGCGCTCCCCCCCACCCTGGGCTTGCAATAGAAGTTGTAATGAAGCTTCCGTTATGTACTACTCACAAGGTTGCTGAAAATCCATCGACAGCCCACGACCGGTTTCGCCCTTCTTGGGGCTCATCAGGTAGACGCAGTCACCGGGTTTCTGTCAACCTTATGTTCTACTTGAAACCAAATTGCATGAAATTAGCGAATATACACTCATTTGCAAACTAATTTGGTTTCTCGAGAAACTCACCTGGAACTCAGCTGAATCTCTCGTTTGTGATGTTCAGCTGGGCTCCAGGTGAGTTCCTCGAAAAACCATATTGGTTTGCAAATGGATGTATATTCGCTAATGAAGCTTTATTTCAGTATCTGTGGGTTCACGATCCGACAACCTCGCCCGGCCAGAAAAATGGTAACCGTATCGGCGATCGTCACCTTACTGCGTATGTAACATTGAAAAAGTTGAAAATTCATTGATGGTTATGTGCAGCAGTGTGAAGGCGAAGCAGGAAATAAAATCGAAACCGGAAAGAAACTCAGTCAAACAATCATATGTTTCAAATCCGATGATGAAAGTGATATCACGTGAACGGATGCGATGTACCATCTCTCATGCGTATTGTGTCCCAAAGCGAGGTCATTCAGTCATGTGACCTGTGAAAGTGACAACAATCACTTGCCTTGTAGTCGAACCACAATTGGAACTTTGATGTTGAGCTCAGTAGCTGCTGCCACAATGCCCTGAGCGATAACGTCGCACCGCATAATTCCGCCGAAGATGTTCACCAAGATGGCATGCACTTTTGGGTCGGAGGTGATCAGCCGGAAGGCCTCTGTGACTTGACTGGCGCTCGCTCCTCCACCGACGTCCAAGAAATTGGCTGGGCTGCCCCCATGAAGTTGGATCAAATCCATCGTGGCCATAGCCAAACCGGCCCCATTGACTGTAAAAGGAGCGAAAAGAGATAAACGAAACTAGGCAGACAAACGCACATCCTCAGATGCACCGAGAAAACTGCAGGACATGATTGAAGAAGAAGCATCTGTAAGGTTGCAGTGAAAACGCTCCTAGAGGACCACGTGGGAAGCTCGGCAGCTCCAGAATGGGAGCTCAATGCTTGCTGTTGCGAATATGACCTGTTCTGTTGGCCGTGGGCGACTGTACAGTTCTTGTACTCATCTAGCCACTGTGAACAGGTACGAACTACTCAAATCAAAGTCCGTAGTTTAGTTAGAATTGCTTCTGTGCACGCTTGAGTAACTTTGCAGCACAGTAGGCCTTCGGGTGGCATGGTAGCCAGGCACCAAAAAGGTGCTATAGGTGTAATGAAGAAGGGCTTCGCTGCAGGGTTGTTTATTAGAAAACACCAACTGAACAGTTACAGACTAGTGGACAGGGAAGCAAAACTCTCATGTGCATCTTGTTTACAAAAACTGAATATTCATCTTCTCTTTGAACGCGTCTTCCTGAACTTTCCTGGATATTCATTGACTTTTGCTCAAATCCAAGCAAGTGCTACAAAGCGACTCCATAAATTCCGTAATAGATCCCACTTTCCAAGAGATGCAAAGAGGATTTAGGAGAAAACATACTACTCACATACCCCCATCAGTAGTATCACCGTTACAGAGGTAGTTACCCAACGTCTGCATCTCAACGTAATCATCCAGACTCATTCAAAAGGAATAACTGCACCAGAGCACGAGGAGAACTGACCGAACGGGAGGAATGTGAAGACAGTCTAAAAATCCTACAACCATCTACAACTACTAAAAGAAACCTCGTTGATTGGTCCTCTGTTTGTCCAAAATCTCGACCAATGCATTTGTGCCATAATCGAAGCGTTGTCCAACAATAAGTTCGCCGACTGTTTAGCAAGTTTCTCCAAAAGGGAAGAAAACTGGCTGTTGGTTGCGTAGAAGATCTTGGGCTTGATGCTTGCTTCGCAATTCTTTATTCATATGGAATATTAGAATTAACTGATTGTCAACTTTTCGGAATCTAGAATGGCTTCGGTTGTCATAACCCACGTAAATTTTCTAATTTTTCAGATTGGATTGTAAATTAAGATCGTACTGAGTGGCGCGAGGGAACTTAGAAGAGAATTCTCCACTGATCCCGAAAATCTGGTTGACACGACTCCATTTCAAAGCAATTACCTCTTGAAGAATGATTCAACTTAAACAGTATCCCGAATCTTCGTTATCGAAAAAGTTTGGTGACAATCGGTAGATTTATTGCTGGGCAACGTTTCGCTTTTGACACAAAAGCTTCGTCAGGCCAAGTGACTAGGTTCCGAGGTTGGTCGAGATTTAAGGCGGAAGGAGAACCAATCAGCTAAGTCAAGCTAAATCTCTGTTGGGTGTCGGCCGAGGGATTTTAGTGTGTTAGAGTGGTTGAACAAGTGTTGGGTCGGTGGGGAAACCTACATGTGTTTGGGTCCAGCCTAGGGTATAGTTCTTCTGGTTCGGTTCATTTGATGGTTCCTCTTCAACTTCGTTTGAACCTTCTGTCAGTCTGTGGGTGAACTAGTGCTAAGATAGTTGTGTATCCCGAGTGGTTGCTACCACGAAGCGTGCAGTTACTCAAGCTTAGAGACCCAAACAACGCCACTCGTAACTAGTTTCCGTGTGGAGTAGCCAATCACCGATTAGTAGCCATATTATACGGCGTCTCCAATCAGGCAAGTAGGGATCACGCGGACCCCAGAAAGTGAGTCGCACCAACCAGACTTTTGGGAATTTCTTTCATACCCCCTCTGTTGGGTCAACCACCTTGACTCGGCTTGCGCACGACTGGCATCGATTAGTAGCCTTATACAGCAGCGTATCCAACCGGGCACAATGGGGATCACGTAGACTTCAGGAGGGAGTTGCGCCGACCTTTCGAACTCGAATTCACTTCCCTCTGCCAGGTCAAAGCTACATCAACCAAACGATTGCGTAATCGCCATCATCTCTAAAACAGTTATTAGAGTTGCCACAGTTTCATTCGTCGATGATCTGGGGAGGTAGGGGTAGACAGTTAAGCACCGCTATTCACTTCGACCAAGTAATTCAAGGATGAATTGGACAGGCTTCTTAAGACGCCGCTGCAATGGTGCATCCGTGAATGATCACCAACTACACCCGCGTTTGCATCTTTTACGCCGGAATGGACGTGCAAAGTTTCGATTCTCGGGATGCTTTAGCGAGAAGTTTGTGAACAGAGGTTTAACTGCTTGCTACTGGGACCTAAAGTACATAATGTCCTTCCACACCTCGAACGTTCATCCGTCATGACATACGAGACGTGAACTTGGTTGTGCAGCAGGTACTTCACAGTCGCAGAAAACATCCAGCACCATCGGTTGCGGTGGCTCGGCCATGTGTGACGCACGGCGAAACAGATTCTGCTGAGACAAGTGACGTCCACCGTGCCTCCTTCAGAATGGTGTAAACTGAGATGTGGATGGGTACCTGGACATAAGGGTGTGAAAGACATTGTGAAGAGTTTAGGTCTGCCTTCAAGGAGAAGATCGCCGTGGAGACAGTTGGTGGCTAATCGTACTGTCAGTTTCTTTGCAGGTTGTGTGGATGAGCGTTTGAAGTTGTGGGCACCTCAGAATGCTTGCAATGGGCCCTTCCTTCTCATCCACTCGTTACTTTTCATTCCAAGTAATTAAATATAATCAGATAAACTTTGTGGTAGTGAAACATGTGTCTCCAGTGACGTAGCAGTTTCTGAGGATGATCAGTCGTGACGTCTTTCGGTGCCGTGCAAATCATACGCGGCACACGGACTGAAATAATGTGGGACTGCCCAAGTCTAGAGGATGGAAGCGCCAAAGTTCCGATGGGTAGTTTCATGCATTCACCACTGATCTATTCCGAGCTCCCCGGATGGTGACAAAATCAAGGCTGAACAGGACTAGTAACGGATTACTTGGACTAACATTTTCTCATTTTCCTGACCTAAAAAGGTCTCAGAATCACTCCGATCAACGAACTTTTGGTATACTCCGAGGAAATCAGCTGTCTGACACAGAGAAGCCCTAGTATGCACGATACTGGAAGGATTTATAACATCATTTCCAGAACAGTGAAGAGCAGCTGCTGCAATTATTTCGAGGTAGGGTAAACGGCTGAATATTCACCTTGTTTCAAATCAAAATATGGAGCTTAACGCAGCGTTTGATGTCGGCAAATTTTCCAGAACGGTAAGCAGGGTGCTCGTGGCCAAACCAATTCTGATTGCTGAGTAAACGAAAGACTGAAGACAGCTCGACAGGTTTCAGATTTAACATGGCGCACCTTGGGCGCATATCTGTGGTGGAAGAGTCAGTACCAATCGGATGACTAATGACAGAGGTCTTGTGCTGCTTACAGTTGACCCATCAGCCTGTGGAAGCAAACTAAAACCTCTTGCCTGACAGTTAACAAACTGACGCAGCTGTACACAGTTCGAGCTAAGGCGAAAAGCTGATCTGCATTTCATTAAAACAAGATTACGGAGTGACCGAATCTCCACACCGTTGAGAACCTCTGGGGGATGTTAGCAAGCCACGTGCGAAAGCGTGGAAAAGTCGACGATTCCTGGACTGAGTTCCGGGAGGTGTGAAAACTGGACTATAATTAGTAGCGTTCAGCTGTGACACCCCATCGGGATATGAGGGCCGAGGTGCTGTCACATTGCTCAAGGCTAGACAGGGACAGTCGAGATGCAAAGGATGGGTTCGGAACAAGAACTTCTGATCAGCAAGTTCGAGCCTCGAGGGAGGTTTACTAAGATAAGGTATTATTACTATTTCAAAGCTTTGAGAAGAGAAGGACCGAAGACATCGATATGACACCACTGGGCGGACTGGCAACAAGAGGCGTCTCTTTCGGACACCATTTCATTGACGTGTACGTCCGTTTTCGTGCCGAAAATAGCCCAATCAATTAGGAGCGGAGGTATCCATAACATAAGTAGTGAATGTGTCAACAGTTAATACGCTGGTACCGTTCACCTGTAGCGCCCTTTCGGTGCCTAACTGCCATGCCACCCGGGGGCTGCGATACTGCAAGGTTACCCTAGCCTAGACGGGGCAGAGGTCAGTTTCGAACCACGGACCTTCCGGTCGGTAACGTCGCGCTCCAACCACCGAGCCATCTCGCCTGGTGAGTAAACAACAGGAGTCGGGGCAAACAACCAAACAAAATCAAGCCTATCTACCTACCCAGACATCCAATAGTTCCATCCAAACCGATGTAGTTGAGGTTGGCTTGTGCAGCCCGGACATCCCGCTCGTCTTCCTGGGTCCAGTCGCGTTGATCGAAGATCTCCTTTTGTCGAAAGGCAGCGTTATCGTCAAAGTTCATTTTGCAATCCATGCACAAGACTGTTCCACAGAGGAGGCAAAGAGGCAATGCGTAAAGGAGAGAGGGGGGAGTGATGGACAGAGGAGACAAACCGATGTATTAATAAACACTAAGGATACTGAACAAAACGACTATGCCGAAGCAGTGGAGAATAAAACACACCATTACAGAGTAAGTTTCGACTGTGAGTTCTCTGCGGCCTTCCGACTGTATGGCATTCTAGTTCCTCGAACATTGCGGTCACTGCTTAAATTAACCGTAATCGGATCAGAAGCTGACCGACTGCATCCGTACTAACTAATCCCTCAACGTTAACGATAATTCCGATGCTGTGCACGAAGCGAAACATCTTTTCGGTGCACAGGTATCACGCCACCCGAGGGCAGCACGAGATCTGCGGTCCTATCAGGTTGCCCAAGCCTAAACAGGAGTAGTTGAGGTGCGGAGATTGGGTTCGAACCATGGGCCTTCCGGTTGATGAGCTCGCTTCTTATCCGCTGAGCTATCTCGAGCTCATTGTCAATACCCAGCAGTACAGTTCAGCGTGTCGGCTAAAAAGCATGTGCCGAAGCACGATGGCCATCTCCAACTATCACAATGAGGGCAACGCGTTTGTGACGACAGAATGCGTTAGTTGATGAAAAGACTCAGCGTGAAAACACTACATTTTGCTGGTGCACGAAGCATGGTCGACAGACTAAACAAATTGTTCAGCTGTAGCACCCATTCAGTGCCTAAATGCCGTGCCACCAGAAGGAAGCACGAGGACTGGGATGCTGGCCAGGTTACCCAAGCCTAGACAGGGAAAGTCGAGAGGCACAGGTCACCTTCATGTCAGTAAGTTCGCGCTCTAACCATCGTACCATCTTGGCGGCTGGTTGTGCTTGGAAAGCTGGTCTAACTGTGTCATGATTTTTGTGTGCTTATTCCTATACTTACCATATATACTCGTACTGAACCTTTGTGTGTATATTTCAGCTCATGTACGCTTGTTCTTAGACAAGTAAAACGTTGCTTATCCTCGAAAACCTGGACTCTGTTCTAACTCGTTCTCGGACACATTCTAAACGTCTCAAACTGTTAATACCCCCCCCCACTAAAACGGATTCCCAACTGAGATTTGGTCCTGTCAGTGAAGGCGATCTATGCCGAAAAGCCCACAAGCACTGTAAAGCTGTTTCATCCCTATTGGGAATCATCAACATTGCGATCTATCCTGTCTTAACGCACAATATTGATCAGTCCCTCGTGGTCTAATGATCAGTTGTTCAAACCACTAGCCGGGAGGTCCCAGGTTCGAATCCTCCCACCATAGTTTCATTAGACGCTCACTGCTGAGGATTTCTAACAAGGGTGAAACAGCTGTTCAGTGCCTCTCNCAGCAGGATGAAACCCCCCAGAATTGAAGTTCCCAAGTCTCCTCACGCTACCAACAATAGTATGACCGTTTGGAGCCTTTGGTCTTGTGATAACGGTATTATCCTCAGCTTAGTTCTCGGTCTGAACCTGTCAAGTTGGCGTTCCCGTCAAAAACAATCACCAAAGATGCACAACGCCTAAAACCAGGTCGTATGTAAAGTGTTTGCCGCGGTATTCTGAAAATTCCGACGCCTTCTGGATGCGACATTGGTATTCGATGAAATCTGGGTCGTGATTGGCTGTCGGATCCACGTTTTCGACCAATCAGAGCTCGCCTTGATGCCGGACAGGCAAACGGCCCGGACTTCTGGTCAATATTGTGCGGGATATGAAACTCGGCCATAGCAACGCCTAACTGCGAGCAACCAAGCGGCGTTTGTAAGGAATTCCGCCTAACAGGATCCCAAACGAATGAAATTGTTCATAAATAATACTGTTTCTGAATACCAGCTTACTTTCACGGGGGCAACAACCTCTGATGTACGATGATGTTCCAAACGGAAAACGGGAATATCATACTAGCTGAAACATGAAACGGCTTTTGTACAACACAATCAGTTGAAGAAGGCCATTACGAACGAGAGATTCAGCTCAAACTCAGTTGAGTCCGTAGTGTAAACCAAGTTTTGCACTCCCCCCACCCTTCGACAGAGACCACAGCGTATGAAAACATGCTGGTGAGAATTCATGTCTAGCGCTTATGCGAGTAAACACAGAGATGAACCCAAAAACAGAAAGCAAAAGAATGACCACGTACTTTCATCGTGGATATCCTGGGCAATCGGGTTGATCTCGAGCAGTGTACAGTCCGTGGAGACAAAAAGATTGTACAACCGTTCTATATAGACCGCGGCTTTCTCAACTAGGGTATCTGTGGTGAAATTCAAGCTCTTGGCGATACGCAAAGCATCTTCAGGGGGCAAACCTTTGGTGATATCAACTGGAATCTGTTGTGGGAGCGAGAAGCGGAGTGTGCAAACGAGTAATAGGATCCGGAGGGCAAACAAACAGAACATTAAGATGGTTCACAAATGGAGAGGAATGTCAAAGTATCCAATGGAATCAAGATAACTACGTTCGTTTCGCCGTCCCACTACTGTAGAACCGATCAACTGCCCGATAAAATTGTTTTAGAAAACGAGCGGTATGCGGGAAAATAACGGTAGCTCTACACAACCCTTTATGGAGACCAAGGAAAATTAGTACAACTGTATTTATAGGGTAGTCACAGAGTGTTCCACAAGGTCGTGCCAGATTCTCCGTGAGGGTGGCGAGAAGCGTCGAGCCAAGGGTGCTTGACTCGGATTGGCTGGCATTCTGACCAATCAGGGCATGCCTTCGTTTGCGCCGTGTCTTCTACGTGACACACCGTCCAAATGATGAGGTGTTCGGTTATTAGGGACGGCTGGTCTCCGTACAGTGCGACAGACCTGGTCCTCCAAATGAAGCCCTATAGACACTGAATTAAAAATATCACTTGTCTAGTAACACAGTGTTACCAACCTCGGTGAATTCTTTTCCAGTTCACCGTCTGGGGAAATCTGTAGCTTCTGGATGTCATTGATCGGCTGTAGTATCTATTCTAAAGAGAAATACCGTCTGCGTGAGATCGCTTTCATTAGAATCGGCCTTCCAGGATACATGCACAGAAAAAGAAAGAACATTTTCTGGTTCCAGAAACCACCAGGACTCTTCCTAGCAAAAGGGAAACCACTGAAGACTATTTTTGTGGATAGCAAGACCGCGGAGCTTCTATAACACATTGGGTTCTTGTGGAAATACCGGATCAGCAATTCTGAAGTTCGTCGCCCTCGATAGATGAACCGATGACACTGCATAGGTTGCGCTGGCTTGGCCACGTGCTGCGTATGCCAGTCGACCGACTTCCTCGAAGGGATCTTTCAACACAACCACGTGAAAACGAGCCAGAGGCGATCAAACAATGACTTGGCAGCGAAGTGTGAAAGCCATTACCAGCAAACTCAGCTGCGCTGGTCACTGCCGTCTTCCTGGATGGGGACCCCGAGACGGGCCACATCAATGGCTAGAGACATTGTCAGACATGGCCCAGTCGCGCCTTCAATGGCGCTCTTGCATCCAAGCTATTGCCTTCAGTGCATAGCTCCCTTCCCAATCTCCCACTTAGCAGTTCATCTACAGTGCTGTATTTACACACGAATTTATCAGCTCCCGCCTGCAATGCGCAGCTACTTACCCCACCTCCCCGAATCACCGGTGAACAAAACTGTGGCAGGTACGACCACTGTATGACAAGTGTGCGGTTATTACAGCTGACAATGATGATTGTGCTGAATAGCTGAGAAAAGCTGTTCCACTATAGTCCAGAATCACTAGTAATTCGATATTTACAAACCCTCGGGGCGACTGAAAATTACACTCGTCAAGATGGGGGTTTGAACATCCACAATCCAGCTTGGACGAGCAGTATGGTTTACTTGTATCAGGCCTTACGACAACATTTGATGTTCGTGGTGTAACGATGATACTACTGATGGGGAGGCACGCGAGTATGTGTTGTTCGTAGAACTTCGTTTTGCGTCTATTGAAAAAGAAGATCTGTTGCGGAATTCGTGGAACCACTTTGTAACATTTGCTTGGATTTGACCGACGAATGAGTGGAGTCAGGAAAGTTCAATAAGACGCGTTCGGGAGAAGATCGGTGTCCAGTTTTTGTAACTAAGATGCAGATTAGAGTTTTGCTTCCCTGTTCAATGGTCTGTAACCGGTCAGTTGGCATTTCCGAATAAATAACTCCGTAGCGAAGACCGTCTTCCTTTCAGTGGTAGTATGATGGTAATTTCTTAATCGATATTTTGACCCGTGATGGAAACCAGTCTACGCAGAAAGGCCGAAGCACTGTATAGCTGTTTCATCCTTATTGAGAATCATGAGCAGTGCGCATCTCACGAAACTCCAGAGAGACTCGAACCCGCGAGCTGCCGATTAGTAGGTCGAACAACTGAACAGCAGTGTGATTAGCACTCACTTAGAGAGGAAATAGCGCCACTCATCCTTCAACAGTAGAAACCACACCATGTGGCCACGTGACTGACTGGCTCCTCGAGTGCTGACTTCTCAGATGAGAGTCTCCCTTATTAGGTGAGTTTTATTTTTTGTCTGAATTATCTAAGTTCTTGCGGAGATCTGTAATTGAAGCAGGAGATCTGAGGTGTATTCAAGTCTTCGATCACTGGTGTCTCTAAACCATGGCTTAAGTCGACAAGCACCGGTGGATCAGAGTTTAAAACACTGGTATCAGATATCTATCGGAAGGAATGCGCGCACTGCTGCAAAGCACGAGTGCTAGGCGGCTGAGAAAAGCTGTTCCACTATAGTCCAGAATCACTAGTAATTCGATATTTACAAACCCTCGGGGCGACTGAAAATTACACTCGTCAAGATGGGAGTTTGAACATCCACAATCCAGCTTGGACGAGCAGTATGGTTTACTTGTATCAGGCCTTACGACAACATTTGATGTTCGTGGTGTAACGATGATACTACTGATGGGGAGGCACGCGAGTATGTGTTGTTCGTAGAACTTCGTTTTGCGTCTATTGAAAAAGAAGATCTGTTGCGGAATTCGTGGAACCACTTTGTAACATTTGCTTGGATTTGACCGACGAATGAGTGGAGTCAGGAAAGTTCAATAAGACGCGTTCGGGAGAAGATCGGTGTCCAGTTTTTGTAACTAAGATTCAGATTAGAGTTTTGCTTCCCTGTTCAATGGTCTGTAACCGGTCAGTTGGCATTTCCGAATAAATAACTCCGTAGCGAAGACCGTCTTCCTTTCAGTGGTGGTATGATGGTAATTTCTTAATCGATATTTTGACCCGTGATGGAAACCAGTCTACGCAGAAAGGCCGAAGCACTGTATAGCTGTTTCATCCTTATTGAGAATCATGAGCAGTGCGCATCTCACGAAACTCCAGAGAGACTCGAACCCGCGAGCTGCCGATTAGTAGGTCGAACAACTGAACAGCAGTGTGATTAGCACTCACTTAGAGAGGAAATAGCGCCACTCATCCTTCAACAGTGGAAACCACACCATGTGGTCACGTGACTGACTGGCTCCTCGAGTGATGACTACTCAGATGAGAGTCTCCCTTATTAGGTGAGTTTTATTTTTTGCCTGAATTATCTAAGTTCTTGCGGAGATCTGTAATTGAAGCAGGAGATCTGAGGTGTATTCAAGTCTTCGATCACTGGTGTCTCTAAACCATGGCTTAAGTCGACAAGCACCGGTGGATCAGAGTTTAAAACACTGGTATCAGATATCTATCGGAAGGAATGCGCGCACTGCTGCAAAGCACGAGTGCTAGGCGGGTTGCGAAGCAATCTGAACCATGACCTACCACGATATGTGCCGGATCCATTCGGACGCATTCAGAAGCTCTGTTGTGAGCAAGCCGACGACTTTCGAATCGGTAGGATGTTCATTGCTATTCTAATCACGCGCGGTCCCCCTCCGGAGTGACGCCAGTTTCCAACGTGACTGGGTTTTCTGGCAAAGCCTTCCATGTAATGATGTTACACCGTAGTCTGACCTTCGTACGCATGCTTCCACTTGGTACGTAGATAACAGGGAATAACTCTGTGGTCAGCTGCCAAACCAAAAAGGCCAATGATCCTGACTAACGCCCAATTAGGTGCTAACCGTTTTTTTCCATGAGCCACCCAACTTATCTCAATACCGTCAGTTCAATGCTCGCACCAGGGTCTTGGAGTAATCGGCGGCCAACTGTTACGACCGTTCGCTTATCTTCGATTCCCAGCGGCATTATTTCCCATTGGCGTAGCAAAATCAAATACGATCCAACGTTTCAAACTCTGTCGCTCAGTGTCTTCTGAAACAGACATTAATTCTCCTCTGAGCCACTTCAATTGTCCAGCTGTAGCACCCCTTCGGTGCCTAGCTGCAATGCCACCCGAAGGAAGCACGAGGGCTGGGATACTGCCAGGTTGCCCAAGCCTAGACAGGGGAAGTCGATAGGTAGAGATTGGGTTCGAACCGCGGACCTTGAGGTTAGTAAATTTGTGCTCAAACCACTGAGCCACTTATACACTGACGGTAGTGTGAAGAGAATGGCTAATTTTCAAATTAGGTTTCTTTCCATCAGTGAAGCTGGGTCCCCAATACAATATTAAGACGATGTTCCATTCTACATGGTTCTTCCCCTGGCCAGTTTCACAGAAAGCATTAAAATTCGATCCTTTTTCAACAAACCCACGATAAGAATGCAAGTCAGGTTAATCAATAACGGAACATGAAAACCTCACACTTGTCGCCACGAATGAAGTGTTCAATCTGTTATGAGAGCCGGAAAGCTTCCGTCTGTAGGTATGTAGATCAGGACGTCAAACAATACTTTCTTATCGTAAAAGTAATAAAAAATAATAGCGATCATTCAGCTGCAACACCCTTTCGGTGCCCACCTACCATTCATAACTCCCTTCCCAATCCTCCACTTGACAGCCCGCTGACAGTGCTGTATTTAGGCACCAATTTATCAGCTCCCGCCTGCAATGCGCAGCTACCTACCCCTCCTTCCAAATCATCGGTGAACGAAACTGCGGCAGCTACAACCAGTGTACGACGAGTACTCGGTTATTACAACTGACAGTGATGATGATGATGACCTGCCATGCCACCCGAAGGAAGCACGAGGGCTGGGATACTGCCAGCCTAGATAAGAGAAGTCGAGATGTAGAGACCGGACAATCCGGTCAGGTAAATCAGCGCTCTAACCACTTGGGCCATCTCGCCCCCTTCTAGCCGTGGACGTCAAGTGATCTCCCAAGGCTTAATAACATGCAACATGTAAGTGATATCTCTAGGAGGAAGTATCAGAAAACATATTGAACTTCTTATCAGGTTCTACTTGAAACCAAATTTCACGAAATTAGCGAATATACATTCATTTGCAAACCAATATGGTTTTTCGAGGAACTCACCTGGAGCCCAGCTGAACATCACAAACGAGAGATTCAGCTGAGTTCCAGGTGAGTTTCTCGAGAAACCAAATTAGTTTGCAAATGAGTGTATATTCGCTAATTTCTTTGGGTTCAAATAGAACATATGGTTGACGGAACCTCGAGGGCTACCTCCGACCTACCTTATGAGCCTCAAAAAGGGCGAAACCGGTCGTGGCTGTCGACGGATTTTCAGCAACCATATGAGTAGTTCATTACAAGGATACAATTTAAAAAACAAGACAGGAGGACAGAAGCTCACTTTGGTCAAGGCTTCTGGCTGATCGCGAGCCACCTCCTCGATATTTACCCCACCCTGTTCACAACCAATCATCACGGGACAACCCTGTTCACGATCCAGAACGATGGCAAAGTAATGCTCTCGTCGCGAATACTTTCGTTCACACACAAGTAGAGTGTTGCAAACTTGGCCAGTCTCTCCAGTCTGTGCGGTGTAGATTCGGTGGCCGAGCATTCTTTTGGCAAGATTTACTGCTTCGTTGACTCTGAAAATAGGAAAAGTAAAAAGTGTGTGCCNAATTCCACTTGCGTAGGAAATCGAGAATCACACGGGGATAGTCAGTCGAAGGTAAACCCACGTGATGAAAACCGAGTTTGGAGAATCTTCAGGTGATCAAATCACCTGTTTTGCGTCAATCGATGAACCGCGTTTATTTCCCACCATGACTGGGGCGCATTGTTCACGAAGCAATTTGTTTTCACGTATTCGTACGGAGCATGGAGAAGACATCAGAAAACGAGAAACGGGCACCACATACGGGTAGTGAGCCTGTTCCATGGATGGAATCCACGGATAGAACGCTGGGAAATGACATCCTATGACATTAGTAAAGATAGCTCCGTCATGTACGTGACATGATTCTATGTGAAACTTTTTTCATCATTCCGTACCCAGCAGTACCCAAGTGAAATATGAAACCTAACTAAAGTTACCTCAAATCAATCAATCATTCACCTGTAGCACCGTTTCGGTGCCTAGCTGCCATGCCACACGAAGGAAGCACTAGGATACTGCCAGGTTGCCCATGTCTAGACAGGGGACGTCGAGAAGCAGAGATCAGGTTCGAACCACATACCTTCGGGTCAGTAAATTCACGCTCTAACTACTTGGTCCATCTCCCTCAAGCGACCTATCGTTGGATGCATCATGATGGCGCATACCAACTCGACTGTGTTCTGAGGGTTTTTTTGAAACGATGCAACATTCAGATATTCAAGAAGGATCATCACTTGGAACGCAAAGCGGCTCAGCTCTAAGTGTGGGTTCTCAGAGTCACCTCCATTCGAAAGACTTGTGCACCGAAGCTGCTGGGGTCAAAAGGCCAAGCCGCTGGAATCAAGGTGATGCGAATCGGGGACGCCCTGATTAGTGCAATCTCATGCATGATAAGTACTCGCGTTAGCACCTGCAACTCTGGTGAAAAATCAAATAATAAATCGTTCAACTGTACCACCCCTTCAATGCCTAGCTGCCGTGCCACCCAAAGGAAGCGGAGAGCTGGGATACTGCCAGGTTGTCCAAACCTAGACAGGGGAAGTCGAGATGCAAGGGGTAAGGTTCGAACCACGGACCCTCGAGTCAGTAAATTCGCGCTCTACCCACTTGGGCCATCTCGCCCCAAAATGGTCAGTAAAATGTCAGACAATTATCTGCAGTTCACTCATCTGAAGCTCTTTCAGGCTAGTCATACAAATCAAGTAGTCACTAAAGTCATCCTGATTAGGCTGGTGATTTTCTGTTCTAGGGATGCAATCTTCCCTGTTTGCACAACGTGGTACAAACATGACATGAACTTCTGTGCCCTGAGAAGCTGTCATCTACGTGAGAAAACTGGAATACGATGGAATTTCAATGACATTGCTTGTGAGGTCAGTCAATGGGTTGTTCAGGCAAGTGGCCGTCAACTAAGGCAGATAGGATTGCAGCGATTCAACAACGTGTTATTAGCTGGCACGGTACGGCGTGATGAGACTGTACTAAGAAATCGCATAGCAAATTCGCTCCATACGAAAGGGCAGGCGTAAAACGCTCGAGTGAAGTTCGTTAGAGTCGCCCAATGAATTGATAAGTTGGCCACGAAGGAAAAAATAACAAGTCAGTCGGAAAAAGAAAGCTCACCATTCCCCGGTGCATCACAGAAATCTAGTGTGCTCCTGGCATAGTGTTATTAGTCTAGCCTGAAATCATGCACCTTCGGGTACACCGATGTTTTCATCCGTTATAAAAACGGCCTTGGACAGTAGAACTTAGTTGGCTTCTCGGTGAGACTAACGGGAAATTGTATACTCATTCCTCGTATTATGTATGATCACGGTTCTGTTTCTCAATGAAGGGAGCAAGCGTATATCGGCGTCTTGAGGTAAAGTGATGACACCACGTTTGCATGGCCACCAGCATGCAGAAGGACCGATTTGGCCGACGTTATGATAAAAAAAAGATAATCAGTCAGCTGAAACGCCCTTCCGGTGCCTAGCTGTCATGCCACGCGAAGGAAGCACGAGGGCTGGGATACTGCCAGGTTGCCCAAGCCTAGAGATAGGGGAAGTCGAGAGGTAGAGGTCGGGTTCGAACCACGGACTTCCGGTCAGTGAATTCGCGCTCTAACCAGTTGGACCATCTCACCAACATGAAACATCTAACTGCATGATCGGTCCCTCGGATAAAAGGATTGCAATTGACAGGCCAAGACCGGTTTTGCTCTTCTGCTTAGGGCTCATATGGTGGGTGGTTCTCCCAGGAGTTTCGGCCATTTTTGAGTTCTACTTGAATCCAAATCGTATGTAATTCACGCGAGGTTCAGCTGCATTCAAGCGAAATTCGTTCGCAAGAGAATGTAATATCAAATCATGGCGTGATTCGTTTACATACCAGTAAAGTTAGTCCCGAATACTAATTAAACCGATAAAATGGAGCCTAGCTAGCGGTTGGATTCAGGAATATTTATTAGAAATTCACATCAAGGTCATTCTCGTTTGAAGTCGTCCTCCTGTCTAGGCGCAATTATTACGGCGAGTCCATACCGAAAGAGGGAGGCATTAGACTCGAGCCTTGCCCCTAGTAGAGCTCATCAGCACATCCAATGGCCGTACCGGTCGGGGTTTGAACTCTGGACATCTGGCATGCGAAGCTAATGTGTTACCACTACTCCGCCAGCGCACGCTGGACGCAGCTGTATGATCACGTCTGAACAGGCCAAGGTGTTCACGTTTGCGCGATGTAAACCGTTCATCCGACACCTCTCACGACGACCCAGTGACTGCCCTCGACTGACCCGCCCGTCAGAACTTCCCAGACTGGTAGCCCCATAGACGCTTGGAAACCGCTGAACAATTACTGATTAGTTATAGGTGTTTGACGGATCTGTATAAATAACGTTCCCATCATCCTTGTCGGGCAAACGAAAAAAACTGTTCGAGCGTGAACAGGCTCGACCGGTCAGAAATGATATTCAGATGCATTTGGTATGCGCTGATAGAGTCGTAGTAACAGGCTCCCCCGCACGTCAGATGTCCGGAGTTCAAACCCCGAAACGGACAAGGACGGCGAGTCCTAAAAAGATGGGAATTCGCGCCAGGAGGTGCCCTACTCACCAAAATAACTGTAACAGGACCTGAGGAGATGGACTGCTCAAACGAGAGTGATGTGAACGCGAGATCTATCAGACACGGATTCACATAGAGAACAATTTCTAGGAAACGAACGCTGTCCAAACAACAACTCCAACTGCACTTAAGAGATATACTCCCTAGGAACTTTGTGGATTGTCTTTACTGTTAACTTGATTTATTGGTCAACTCACAGGTGCGTTCCGCTGTAGCACCCTTTTTGGTGCCTAACCACCATGCCACCAGAAGAAAGCAGGAGGGNAATTCCACTTGCGTAGGAAATCGAGAATCTCACCGAGATAGTCAGTCGAAGGTAAACCCACGTGAGGAAAGCCGAGTTTGGAGAATCTTCAGGTGATGAAATCACCTGTTTTGCGTCGATCGATGAACTGTCTCTATTTCCCACCATGATTGGGGCGCATTGTTCACGAAGCATAGAGAAGACATCAGAAAAAGAGAAATGGGCACCACATACGGGTAGTGGGCTTATTCCACGGGTGGAATTCACGGATAGAACACTGGGAAATGACACCCTATGACATTAATAAAGATGGCTCCGTCACGTGCGCAACATGGTTCATACGCAAAAAACTTTCATCATTCCGTACCCAACAGTACCCAAATGGAGTATGAAACCCGACTCAAACGACCTCAAATCAATCATTCACCTGTAGCACCTTTTCGGTGCCTTGCTGCCATGCCGCACGAAGGAAGCACGAGGGCTGGGATACTGCCTGGTTACCCAAGCCTAGACAGGGGAAGTCGAGAGGCAGAGGTCGGGTTCGAACCACGGACCTTCCGATCAGTAAATTCGCGCTCTACCCACTTGGGCCATCTCGCCCCAAAATATGTGATATCAAATCATGGCGTGATTCTTTTACGTACCAGGAAAATTACCCCCTCATGAATAATTGAACCGATAAAATGGAGCCTTACTAACGGTTGGATTCAGGAATATTTATTAGAAATTCACATCAAGATCATTCTCGTTTGAAGTCTTCCTCCTGTCTAGGCACATTTATTACGGCGAGTCCATAACGAAAGGGGGAGGCATTAGACTCGGGCCTTGCTCCTATTAGAGCTCATCACAAAACATCCAATGGCCGTACCGGTCGGGGTTTGAACTCCGGCGAGGCTGCAGGAAAATTACCCCCTCATGAATAATTGAACCGATAAAATGGAGCCTTACTAACGGTTGGATTCAGGAATAATTATTAGAAATTCACATCAAGATCATTCTCGTTTGAAGTCTTCCTCCTGTCTAGGCACATTTATTACGGCGAGTCCATAACGAAAGGGGGAGGCATTAGACTCGGGCCTTGCTCCTATTAGAGCTCATCACAAAACATCCAATGGCCGTACCGGTCGGGGTTTGAACTCCGACATGCGAGGCTGCCCCACCAGCGCACGCTGGGGGCAGCTGTATGATCACGTCTGAACAGGCAGAGTTGTTCACGTTTTCGCCGACACCTCTAACGACGATACTGTGACTGCCCACCATTGACCTACACGGTTTTGTGCTGTGTACATTAGTGCATGAAAGCCCTCAAACTTAGGGGCGAAGCTGTGCCTTAATGTAGACACTCCTCAGTTGCTGGCTCAACTGATCGCAGTACCTCTCCACCACCTCCAGAGTAACAGTTCATGTGATTACGATTTATCGAAACAGGTCTTCGGATCTGGTCTGCAATGCACCTGGCGAATGGAAGGAGTTCACAGTATCAATGGCGCGCGCGGGAGTGGGGAACGTTGGACAGCTTACCTGTGATCTTCTGATACACGGGAAGCCTGAACTTCGCTTAGTTGCCTGCCGTAGTCGGCCCGGATCCGTGCTCAAATCCTCCCAAAGAATACTCCCTCCTGACCTGCTCCCAAATCT